TGTCTCATTGGAATTTATGTAAGTTGTATTTGTTTTATATTGTATTATTTAGAATCGAGTGTATTTGCTTTTGTTTTGAAGTTTAGAGAACGGCGCTTTTATTTTGAAATCAAGTCCTGTTCTGAGCTCTCGCGCGAGAAGCAGAGATGCCGGAGAAAAATATTTACGAAGATAAGGGCTAATGCGTATTGGAATATCAAAGTTTGGACAATTCCCTTTTTTCTTGCAGCATGCAGCTAACGAGGTATTTTATTTATTTGCTTGCTTTTTGAGTATAATTTTTCGATGCTATGCAGGTTATTGTTTGTCTCATTGATGTTTGTGTTTTGCTAATATCGCTAGTTTTCACGGTGGATTTGGAGATTGCCAAGGACTTCAAATAAACCTGTAGAAGAAAACCACTTTTAAACGTTTCCTGTTTTGTTTTGTAGTCCTTCCTGTTTGGTCCCAGTGTTGCTTTCCCACTTGCTTTCTCTTGATTTCCTGACTCCTCCCTAATTACCTCAACCTGTGTCTCATTGTTTCCTTCCCTGTCTTCTGTATATATTCCCCAGTCTGTCTCTTGTTCGCTGCGTGTTCGTACTTGTCTTTTCGTCAGTCGTTCAACCATTTTAATCTCGTCTTTCCTTGTTATCCTGACCTTTGCCTGCCTTTTTCTCGACCACCGTTTTTGCCTGCCGTTCTTGTACTTTAGCCTGATCTTAGTTATGGCGAGATGAAGCTTCAAAAAGCTTTGAAGCGTTCCATCCAATCGGTTCACTCGTGTGTTGAAGCTTCATGGTGCTTCATTTGCTCTGTTCCGCCCCCTGGTGGCCAATAAATGTAAACCGTACAGCGTGGTTATAACGAGACTCTGGCTTTGGTGTCTGAAGCATTGAGTGAATTAATCAAAGATGTCTGTGATGCTTATACATGAATTATAAACTTTTAGATGATGTCTGTCTTTATGATACAATGACAGGGAAGCTTGAATAGATCGCTCACAAACTCGTAATTAAGTCCCAAGTCCACAAAATGTGAGGGGGGGATTCATTGCGTTTTGCTGGCCCTTATTTTTCAAATAGACCGCCAAACCGCGAACCACTTCCTGGATCAGTCACGTGGTACGGCCGGTTCGCGAGGCTTCAAACGTCACCGCATACGTCATCGACACAAGCTTCACAGAAATCATCCAGGATTTCTCGAAGCCTCGATACGAAGGGACACATCACTACTTTTCTCGACCACCGTTTTTGCCTGCCGTTCTTGTACCTTAGCCTGATCTATTGCCTACCCGTGTACCGACCTTTTTCTGAATTAAACGACTTCATCTTAAACCCTTGCCAGGAGTTTTTACATTTGGGTCCTGGCAGTGGTGGATCTAGACTTTTATCTTTGGGGTAGCAAGGGGGTGGCCAAGTGTATTTTAGGGGGGCAATGGTTTATACTTAAAAATAACAAAGTTTATGCACTAGCGTTAAAGTCGCAGCAGAAAACACCAACCGTCTGTAAGCAATCGAGTGCTGTATACCTGTTCATGTCACATTTAAATTATCATTCACTATCATTTATTTCTACATGGACTTACAGATGTTGGTCCTGTCTTGTGTTCTATTCATCTGTTACTTTTCTCCTAAAAATATTCAGCTGTTTTTATAAATATGGCAGTTTTAAAATCCATCTCGAGAGCGCGCAGCCTTTTCCCAAAGAATGTTGTTTGTTAACTAATGTTATGCTTGTTGCACTCGGTGGCTTCTTCTTTCACCCTAGATTCACGACTGGAAAGGGGCTGCATAGCGCATGCTTTATTGCGCCATCTACTGTACAGGAAGAACATCGCAGTCAAAGACTTCAAACGTGCAACTGTTTTAGCGGTGCCGTCAATCATCTGGGGTGGCAGTTGGGGTAGCCAATCAGATTTCGGGGGAGTCAATTGCTCCCGTAGCCACCCCTATAGATCCGGCCCTGGGTCCTGGTGCCACGGCCGTGATAGCTTGAAGGGAATTATAAAGGTTTTGTCCTGCAGGTGCTCGGCGAGGTCTGAAGACTCTCACCGTCGGAGCTCATGGACTCAAAAGTCATGTTGCAGCGCTGGTGGTCGAAGGGAAACAGGAAGAGGTCCAGCTGGCAGATGTAGGTCAGCCGTTTGCGCTCGCTCACTTTCACCAAACCGCTGGGATACAAGACGGCAAACGGGTCCTGCAGGACCGTGCCGACGTCAGAGGTACTGGAGAGGACAAAACACGACAAACTCTACCGACCATAGCTCCATTTTACTCCTCTTACAGTGGGGGAAATAAGTATTTGACCCCTTGCTGGTTTTGCAGGTTTGCCCACTTACAAAGAATGCAACGATCTATAACTTTAATCATATGTGCATTCTAACAGTGAAAGACAGAATCCCAAAGAAAATTCCAGAAAATCACATCATATGAATTTATAAAAATATTGATAACCATCTGATGAGGAAAAATAAGCATTCTTTGTAAGTGGGCAAACCTGCTAAATCAGCAAGGGGTCAAACACTTATTTCCCCCACTGTATCTGAGGGAGAGTCATAGAGGCAGCAGGGTGGCCTTCCCAGATGTTCCCAAGGATTCCTAGATGTTCTGCAATGTGCCAAGATGTTTCCAGACATTCCCCGGTATTCCTAGATGTGTCCCGATGTTCCCAGTTGTTCCCCGGTTTTCCTAGATGTTCCCCGGTTTTCCTAGATGTTCCTAATCTTTCCCAATGTTCCGTGATGTTCTAAGATGTTCCATGATGTTCTTAGATGTTCCCTGACGAGCCCTGATGTTCCTACATGTCCCTACATATTCCCCAATGTCCTATATTTTCCTAGTTTTCCCTGATGTTCGTAGATGTTTTTGCAATGTGCCGAGATGTTCCGAGACATTCTCTGATGTTCCCAGTTGTTCTCCGGTTTTCCTAGATGTTCCCCAATATTCATAGATGTTCTGCAATGTGCCAAGATGTTTCCAGACATTCCCCGTTATTCCTAGATGTGTCCCGATGATCCCAGTTGTTCCCCGATTTTTCTAGATGTTCCCTGAGGTTCCTAGATGTTATGCAATGTGCCTAGATGTTTCCAGACATTCCCCAATTTTCCTAGATGTTCCCTGAGGTTCCTAGATGTTCTGCAATGTGCCTAGATGTTCACAGACATTCCCCGATATTCCGAGATGTTCCCCGATGTTGCCAATGTTCCCCAATGTTCCTAGATGTTACCCGATGTTCCTAAATGTTTCCAGATATACCTAGATGTCCCTAGATGTCCCTACATATTCCCAGATGTTCCTATATTTTTGCTAGTTTTTCCCAGATGTTCCTGGATGGCCCTACACGTTCCCAGATGTTACCCAATGTTCCTAAATGTTTTCAGATGTCCCTACATATTCCCAGATGTTCTTAGATTTTCCAGATGTTCACCAGTGTTCCTAGATAAACAGGTAGCAGGCCTCTGATTGGCCAGGGGGGGATAAAGCCACTGGATGATTCCCTAAAGAAGCCTTACCATTGGTCCCCCCCCCCCTACCACTAAAGAGGCCCATCAGAGGAGCAGCAGTCCTCCATGTTGGGTCGGGTTCGTGTCAGTTAGAGAAATCAATTTATGTATAATCACTTTCTTAATTTCTCTCTGGTAACTTTCCACAAGTGAATATTCTAAAGGTTCTTTTTCTTTCTCATGAGACTCATTCCTCCTTCTAGGTCTCAGAGAGGGTCTCCTAATACTTTATCTCTGAATGTTTTGTCTGGAGGATTGTTTAATACAGGTGCAGAATGAAGGGCAGACTTTACGTCTTATTTTCAGACTCAGAAGGGTATAAAATGCTCCATGATTAGTTTTACTTTGGGGCAGTTTGGTGCCTCATATGGTCCACTTGTATGAAGTTTTCCCCTTCCCTTCTTCCCTTTTCAATAAATTTCTATTTCTTACTTCCTCAGATGGACTCAGACTTTTGCTTTAAGATAAAATTTCCATAACAGTGTCGCAGACTGATGATGTCACAGGACTTTCCCACCAACACCCACTTAATGGAAAACCACCAAACACAAAAGAATCCGAACAAAGTCTTTGTGAATAGGAGCGTACTCACTCCTCCTGGATGGCGATGTCTGGGATCCAGAGGATGGATCTCGGCACGGTCAGGAAATCGATCCCGCAGAACTCGGAGGTGTTCCAGGTCAGGAATTCATCGGTCCAGTACTGAACAAGAGGAGGAGGAGGAGGAAGAGGAGGAGGAGGAGGAGGAAGAGGCTGGGTCAGAAAACCATTCTGCTCCCACCTCTGGACTCCATTGAACTCACCGTGTCGACGCCGATGTGGAGGGAAACGGTTTGAAGTTTCTCGTCCTACAGAGAAAAAGCAGAAATATACAGGACTGTCTCAGAAAATTAGAATATTGTGATAAAGTTCTTTATTTTCTGTAATGCAATTAAAAATCATGAAATGTCATACATTCAGGATTCATTACAAATCAACTAAAATATCGCAAGACTTTTATTGTTTTAATATCGCTGATTATGGCGTACAGCTGAAGAAAACTCAAAAATCCGATATTCTAATATTTTGAGATAGGATATTTGGGTTTCTTAAGCTGTGAGCCATAATCAGCGATATTAAAACAATAAAAGGCTTGCGATATTTCAGTTGATTTGCAATAAATCCAGAATGTATGACATTTCATGATTTTTAATTGAATTATAGAAAATAAAGAACTTTATCACCATATTCTAATTTTCTGAGACAGTCCTGTACGGTGGCCCAGAAGAGTCAGAACACACCAAACCCACAACACAGCAAAACAATCCACAGGAAGTGGATCATTTGTTGGTTTCTGAACTTTTCGGCCAAAGCTAAACAGCTCTAGCTGTTTATCTGATCTTCTGGATTCCAAGAATTGATTTGGAAGAATTAAATATTTAATTTTTTTTAACTGTACTTTGGTCAATTTTTTTTTGCTAACCATTTACTAACCATAGGACTAACACCCAGTTGGGTGAACTCACACCCACTATCTGTACAAATTGTCACATTTGGTTTAATTATAGAATAGAATAGAATAGAATAGAGTAGAATAGAACAGAACAATTTATTGATCCTACAGTGGGGAAATTGAGAAGTTATGTAAGGAAGTTATGTAAGTTATTGATGGCAGATAATAATCACATTTCAATTGAAAACACAGACAACAGAAATCCTCTTATTTTTACCGAAAACGCCCGAAAAAACATTTAAAAGTAAATCTGAAGCTGTTTTTGGAGGAGAGGTCTGGTTGGGGTCTCATGTGAAAGAAAAACACTCTGAATTCCTCCCCAAGAAATCCACAATCCATCTGTGTCTCTGTCACAGAGTAAAACAAACGTGATACAATGAAGATTAAAGATGTCAACATCCTTCTTAATTCTTTTCCCCATAATTTCTACCTTAAAAGTGACTTAGGCAACGTCCACCTTTAAGTTAGACTGTAATACGACAAAAAAATGTGTATAGTTTTTTCTTAGGATAGGACCAATTGACTGATATTTTAAAATGCTTCTTTATAGAGTTATCATCTTGGGTTCTAATTAAAGGTTTAAATGCTTTTTTGCGAGGTCTTTCTGAGGAAAATTCACCTAATTGGCAGCATTTCTCTCAACTTATCTGGTATTGAATGTGTCATTCAGCAGTTAAATCGGCAAAAACTGGCAGCTCGTTTCACAACCGGAAAAGCAGCAGGTGATTTTGACCTATGAGCTAAAGATTCACCTTATTATTCTTCTTAATTATTAGCTCATTGACTGGCAGCCATTTTCAGAACAGAGTCGCTCACTGCCAGAGTTTTTTGAGAATTTTGACTGATTTTTCAAGAGCCACAGAATAGTTTGTGCTATGACTATGTAAACACCGAACACACCAAAAGAAAGAGTAGACTCTCTTCTTTCATCAGGAAAAAAAATGTGTTTCTACCTTATTCCGTTTTTCCTGGACTTGCGTCTCACCGGCGCCATGTTCTCTCATAGCGAACTATTGCGTTTGTTTTTATTTGCTTACAATCTATGCTAATCTCCCATCAAAAGTGGCACAGCTACCTAGAGGGTAAATTTGTTACTACATACTCTGTCTAGAGGCCGATATTTACGGGAAAACTTTCGCCGATCGTCCCCCAAGCCACTCGCATTGAAAAACATAAAAGACGTCTATAGACGTCTTTGGCAGCGAATTAGTTCATATTTGGCCTGATTGAGCCACAGCAGAGAAGATAAAGAGTCTTTGTTAGTATCAGGCTGGATGTTTTTGGCTAAAATGTGCACCTCTGATCTAGTCAAGATTAGAAATATATGGAAAATCTGCACATCTCAGGACAGACTTTTTTGTCTTTACTGATGCCAAACATGCTGCTCATTGTGGAAACATTGAACCCTATTAAAAAAATCCTGCAATTTGGAGACTAGAGACAAAGGCTAATTTTTCCAGGAGGAGCCTTTTTGGAGCACGAGCATGAGCCATGTTCTGCTCCAGGTTTCTGCCTGTTAAAAGGAAGTTTTTCCTTGCCTGTGTCGCCTAGTGCTTGCTCATGGTGGGAATTGTTGGGTTTCTTTAGTTAACTTCAGAGTAGGGTCTGACCTGCTCTGTTTGGAAAGCGCTGTGAGACAACTGTTGTTGTGATGTGGCGCTATAGAAATTAAATTGAATTGAATTGAATTAATTTTAATTTTGTAATGTCATTGTCTGAACGTGTGTTTGGACTGATTTTGTATTTTGTGATTTTGTGTTGTTTGGTCTTCCTGCCTCAGGACTACAGACAGATGTAAATTAGCAACTATGCTAGAATCTGGCTCATTTACGATCTGTATGAGATTGTTCATTAATGTGCACTGTCCTGATTAAATAAATAAATAAATAAATAAATAAATAAATAAATAAATAAATAAATAAATAAATAAATAAAGTCAATCTGAGTTTGAGCTGCTAGAAATAATTAGAAAATAACTTTCTTTATCCCATAGTTTGCAACCACTGAATAAACAAGTTAAAAAGGCTGATTTTGTGGAGCTCCAGAGCAAAAAGAATGAGTGCAAATCTGTGTAAAAACGCCACTTACCACATCTAGGATGCCAAACAACTGCAGGTGTAGCTGGACGACGGTGGCGCTGGTCCAGTTTTTCACGGGTCTCATAATCTGCAGAACCTCATTGGAGGAGGAGATGTTCAGGTGTGTGAAAAGCCTGCTGTAGGAGCAGTCTGAGCTCTGACATCTGCACAGACCTGTGAGAAAAGGAGCAAAACGCTCAGTCCAACTCGGTCAAAGTGAGATTATCAGTATTTGATGCTGCGTTTTTACCAAATAAAGCACAAACAGCCAGAGTCCTGAGGGCTGCCATGGTCTCCTGACCGGTATCGGGCTGAATGGACCCTTTTTAAACTTCACGGCTGTTTACACAAACCAGACGGCCATAGATCTTTTTAATTAGTCTGTCAACGTGTAAAAAGACGCTCTTTTGTCCGCGTGTTCAAAACCAATCGACCGGATATTTCTTTGCCTGTGGTCCACAGACAACACAGGTGGAGGGTTTTTATTTCAGAAATCATTGGAGAAGGGAACAGGTGCAGTAAAGAAAAAACATGTTTGGCTTTTTATTGGGTTACAAGTCACAGCTTGTCCACATTTACATTCATTGAGGAATATATAAATCCATTCATTAAATGACCAGAAATAATAAGAAAAGCACCACTGAGAAAATATTTAAAGTAACGTTAGAATTTCTTGGGTTTAGGAAACCTTTAATCTGGTTTTAAGTTTTATTTGAACAAACTAAACTGTGCAAAAACAGATTGAAATCTAGTTTATTGAGCTCTGTCACAAATATTAGAGCACATATGTGGAATTGCTCTTTAAAAGCTGTTCATACCACAAAGAAAAGTGGCCCAATTTGCAGTTTAAAGTCTAAATCACAACAGATGAAATCTCCAAGGACTTCAAAGATATAATGCAGTCACAATCCCTTAAATCAATTCATTAAACCACTTGGAAATTCACTTAATCCAAAGCAGATCTGAATAATTATTTATTTCCCTAAGTAAACAAATAGACTGCTTTGAAACTTCTCTAAGTGGCTAAATGCTCATAGAAGGTCAGAGGTCATCAATAAAGACACCCAAGTTCCTGTAACCTGAAAGGGGACGACTGGATGTTACAGAGATGGACAAAGGAGTCAGCTAATGGCAGATAAAACTGGGTATAATCTGCATAGAACGAGACACGAGAAGCTGTGTGAGTGGAGTATGTGGTGGTGTTTATGCCACAAAGGAGGTATCCCAAAACAGACCCTTAGGGGAAATAGTTTGTTTGCTTTCAACAAAAAAATTAACAATCACCCAGAGAGGTTAGACTCACGGTTTAGTCCTGGAGCTTCCAGAAGGCACATAGAGCCAGTTGTCTTCTGGGTTTCTGTTTCTGTAACGGATTAAAACTAAATAAATATTATTTTTTCAACCTGTAAAAGAAGTAAACTTACAGAGGAATTCATTCTTACTTCACTTCGACTAATAAAAGAACTCAAATGAGCAAAAACGAGCGTGAATGGTAGATTTTATTATAGTATTCAGAAAAAGGTCGGAGAAGTAAGAAAATGTAGTAGAATTAAAAAAGAAGAAGATATTATAACTAGAATAAGATTTGGACACACAGGGTTAAACAGCAATCTTAAAATAATTAATAAACATAGCACGGGGTGTTTTGGTTGTGGGAAGCTGGAAACAGTCCAGCATGTTTTTTTGGAACGTAATAAGTATAATCAAGAAAGAGAGAGGTTACGTAGGGAATTAGGTAGGAATAAAATAAAATTGGATATTGGGGATTTATTTCAAAGGTCATCTGGGGATGTGGTTTTTGGAAATATTTTCAGTTTTTTAAAGAGAGAACGGGTGTATTAGGAAGGATTTAAAAGATTGTTGAATCCATACTCCAATCTGGAAGGTGGCGGTAATGCACCGAAAAGTTGTTTGCCAACCGCCATAAAAAAAAGAGAAGAAGAAGAAGAAAAACATAGAGCCAGTTATCCTCTGGGTTTCTGTTTCTGTAACGGATTAAAACTGAATAAATATTATTCTTTCAACCTGTAAAAGAAGTAAACTTACAGAGGAAATAATTCCTACTTCATTTCGACTATTAAAGGAACTCAAATGAGGAAAAACGATCGGTCCGTACCGCTGTTATTGTGAAAACACAAACCGGAAGTGGTGGTGCGCTCCACCGGAAGTTGTGGTCATGCGGAATCAGGTCAGCTGGTTACTTGAGATCCCAGCTGTTCTGGGTTAACTGTCTGAGGCTCGCAAACCCCCCGTGGAATGATTTCTGTCTTCATTTTTTCGTCTTTTTACCGAATTTACCACAACGAAACGGCCCATGTCGGGCGGAAGTGACGTCACACAGTACTCTGGCTAGTTGTCTGGTTCTGGTTCTGGTCCACCTGACAGCTCCTGCTAGCTTGAAGCCTGAACGGAGGGAAGGTGAGCCGTGTTTACATCTCTGTCTGTGGATAAATGCGGGAAAACCGACAAAACTGTCTCTTTTAGCAGCTTTTTGGAAAACGGCGCGACTCCAAATGATGCTAACAGCTCAAATTTACCCCCCAAAATGGGCTTTTCTCATCAGTCCAGAGCTAAATCAAAAATGAAAACGATGGTAAAAAATACCTGAAATAAATATGACTGAATAAATCTGCCACAAATAATCACCACGCCATTAAAAAAAACTCAATTTAAAAGTGTCTTGTTCAAGGAGACCTACTTTTAAAAGAGTAAAACGGGAAATTAGTTGGAACAGTTCATGTAGAAAGAAACTTTGACCCATATTGATAAAGGTCTACAATTTGGCTTTGATTTTGCATCTTTGTTTCACATAAAACTCAGCTAGTGACCTTTCTAAATGTCTCAAATCTCTACTGGTTGTTACATTTCTATGTCTCTGCCCTCTATTACACTTGTCTTAGTCCAGGTTAGACCCCGGTGCTAAACTTTAGACCACATAGCATTTAAATGTACCATAACTGACACATATCAGCAAAAATTGGCCAGTTATATACCCAGAATCGACATTTTAAATGTTTCTTTTGAATGTTTTTAGGCAATTCGAGTGAACAACAATGTTGAACTTGATTATTTTGCAAAGATCTTTGCATATTCCTAACTTTGATAACACTTTGTTGGATCTATTTCCAAAAGAACGCATTGAATTAGTTTTTACTTGACAATACTCCTAAATTTCTGCTATTTTTGTAAAGTATTCTGATAGAATCGAATGATTACATAGTCTAAAATACTAAAAAGTATCTTTTTACTGGGATAATGATTAAATACTCACATTATGGACGTAATTAAACTTTAAATTAGTCCAGGACCATAGCTTTTAGATGGTTTACACTCGCTCTGAAGCCAGAATAACCAACAATAACAAGGAAAGATGCTTAAAAATTCCTTTTAAAAAGCAAAATGTAGTTTTATTTGCTCATTTTCCCCCCATTTATCTGTTTTGTCGTGTTTGTTTCCAGTTCAGGATCTGAGTCTCCCACCATGGCGGGCGGCATTACAGACACCGGAGAACCATACTCAGCTTTTGTGAGTACTTTAGGCCTGTTTTTCTACTCTCGGGTCGGAAAAAGCTCAGATCTTCGGCAGTTTTTCGGAAAAAATATCTAAATATCGAGATTTTTCTCCTTTTTCTGCAACATAACCCACAGACTGGTGTATAATTCCCTTTTTTCCAGAAGGAGAGGTCAGTTTGACTAAAATGACTCTTTAGATCTGAGTGGAAAAAGACAGAATCCTAAAGATTTGTTCAGTATAGGTATAAAAAGGTATAGTTAAATCCTAAATAAACTACATTAACGAGGAAAGCTGAAGTAGTTGGATCAAAATCTATTCCTTAGGATTGCACACATTCTTTAAACTTGCTGAGTCAGAGTCCAGTAGTTCTCACTGTGTTCTGCATTGACCAAACTCGTCATTTTTCTGTCAATGCGTCACCAGAAAGTCACATAAGTGCAAAGAAAGTGCAGAAAAAGATGACGAGGAGGTCTAAGATCCTCTTTTTACAGCCTGCACTCAGCAGCTCACTTTGCTGACATCAGCACAACTTTTTCCAGGAGGCGACGGCCCTGAATCTTTAACGCACTGGCTTCCTGAGAGGGAAGTCCAGCCTAATTAGCCCCGCTGTCCTCTGAAAGGGGCTGATTCAATCACCTAGTGCTCTGAACGTTATCTGATCAGAAACTGATACAGGAGAGCTGGAGAAAGGGGCGGGGCTTCAGAATAAATTAATATAAATCAGAATATATCAATCAATCAATCAATGTTTATTTATATAGCACTTTACAACAACCGGAGCTGATCAAAGTGCTTTACAGAATATATATATATATATATATATATATATATATACACCACATATATACATGTATATATATATAGAAATATCAATATAAAAAATAATTATTGAATAAAATGTTGTGCTGCATTACTGGTTTTATTTGCACTTACATTACATTTGCACTTACAATACAAGTGTATCGCCGATATTTTCTCCGAGTGCATTCTGGGTAAAACTAGTTTCCAACCGTCCACCAACGGCTCGCCGGTCGCTAGGCAACGGCTTGTAAACGGAGCGGAGCGGTTTTGACGGAGCTAGCTAACACAAGCGGCGCTAACCAGCATAAAAGCCTAAATAAAATGGAAAAAAACGGACAAGTTATAAAAACCGGACACGTGTTTTGTTCGTCGTCCTGGACGTGAAACTGACTTTTTTTTGTTGGTGGCCAGGTTAATTACAGGTGGCAGCTCAAATTTTTGCTGTTCACAATGTGGGAGTTAATGGAGACTGGTGGTGGCTGGAAAATGTAGCTTATATAAAACCGTAACTGTTCTCTTAGGTTGTTTTACTTCACGTCTGTTTGATGAACTTCTAAATTAACTTTATTATTTGAGTATAAAGTAATTTCCTCCACCCCTGGCCCGGTTCTAATTTGTTCTGCTAGCTAGAGATGCTCCCCATAACTCATTTAAAACCCCCAAATCTTACCATAAACTCCAGAAAAAGGACCTCATTCATGCCAAATTGGGGTTCATGTATACAGGACTGTCTCAGAAAATTAGAATATTGTGATAAAGTTGTTTATTTTCTGTAATGCAATTAAAAATCATGAAATGTCATACATTCTGGATTCATTACAAATCAACTGAAATATCGCAAGCCTTTTATCGTTTTAATATAGCTGATTATGGCGTACAGCTGAAAAAAACTCAAAAATCCGATATTCTAATATTTTGAGATAGGATATTTGGGTTTCTTAAACTGTACGCCATAATCAGCGATATTAAAACAATAAAAGTATTAGTTAAAAAAAGTAGTTAGTAAAAATATTTCAGTTGATTTGTGATGAATCCAGAATGTATGACATTTCATGTTTTTTAATTGCATGACAGAAAATAAAGAACTTTATCACAATATTCTAATTTTCTGAGACAGTCCTGTATATTCATGTGTATTAGGTCGATTATGGTGAGCCACTTTAGATTAACGGTTATCTCAAAGAGCACAGATAAAAGATGGAAGGGGACAGAAATGCCTTTAAATGGGTGAAGTTGCTGTTAGAGGTATTGTTTATATCTGTGGTGTCTTTTGCAGGTGGGTTTGGTGTACATGTTTAATCTGATCGTGGGAACTGGAGCCCTGACGATGCCCAAAGCCTTCGCCACCGCCGGGTGGGTGGTCAGCTTAGCGCTCATCTCCATTTTAGGATTCATGAGGTGAGTCTTCCAGCATAAAAAATCCCAGAAAAACAGCAAAGAATGTCGTCATTTCTGGTCCAGGTGTCCAATTCTGTCAATTTCATGTCATTCCTTAACAGAAAAGAGAGTTTTACTAGTGAAAAATGACACAAACTTACAGAAAAAGGACAAAATACATGAACAGAAAGACTTAAAACCACAACAGAGATTAATATAAGGCAAAAATAACCCCCAAAAAAGAGTAAAGAAATGCTGAAAATCCAAAATTTTCAAAGACCTGAGCTCCATTGAATCTTATCATTTTTGTATTTTTCTAGATTATCATTAATATTTGTCTTATCTCATACATAGGAGGGGAAGTTTTCTCCTCTATAAAACTCCCAAAACACTTTTTATAAACAGTTTTTAAAAAACTTTTCTTTCTTAACTTTTTTAAAAGGTGGAGTAATACATTTTTAAGCTCTGTGTGTCTTTTAGTTTTTATTTTGCTCTTTGACAGCTGTTTATTCCAGATGTTTGCCTCAGGTTTTGTGTCTTTACGGCCAGCTGTGTTTTGCTTTAACACTTTTATGGTGAATAGAGGCAGAAAATAAGCCAAAACTGTGATTATTTTAGGTCAGAATGGGTCATACTTTGAGTGTTTAGCGTTAAACTCTGTGTAGATGTGTGATTCTTACAGGAGAAGCAGTAAGGATTTTTTGTGGTGTTTTTTTTGTGGTGTTTTTTTTTTTTCTGTTCCAGTAAAAGAAAAAAACTGTTCTTTCTTAACTTTCTAAAAGGTGGAGTAATACATTTTTAAGCTCTGTGTGTCTTTTAGTTTATATTTAGCTCTTTTATAGCTGTTTATTCCAGATGTTTGCCTCAGGTTTATTGTCTTTACGGACATCCGTGTCTTGTTTTTACACTTTTATGGTGAATAGAGGCAGAAAATAAGCCAACAATAGGATTATTTTAGGTCAGAATGGGTCATACTTTGTGTGTTTAGCGTTAAACTGTGTGTAGATGTGTGATTCTCACAGGAGAAGCAGCAGATTTACAAGTTTAAGGGTCAAAATGCTCCTTTTTCCCCCATCAGCTACATGACCACCACGTTTGTGATCGAGGCGATGGCGGCCGCCAACGCTCAGCTGCGCTGGAAAAGAAGAGAGCACGAGGAGGTAAATAATCCTGCCTTTAGGAGGAAGACCAGCAAAAAAGGGGGAGCAAAACACTGTGTTCAGAGGTTTCACCAGAAAAAAAGTGCGATAAAAATATATATATTTTTTTTCTGTTCCAGTAAAAGAAAAAAAAAGAAAAATTTGAAATGATATTTTATTTATATATATATATATATGTACATTTATTGTTTCATTGTTATTTTTTGTAAATTGTTTTATTTTTATTTGCAGATGTATTTGTTTCTAGATTTTTTTACATTAATAATGATTTATTCCTATATTCATTTTTCTGTGCCTTTTTAATTTTCACATTTATTCATTTTTCACTTTGACCAAAATGACAATTTGCAGTATTCATTGCATTTATTTATGAAAAATATTAATTATTCATCCAGCTATTTTAAATTAGTTTTTTTTGTGTCTTTTTAGGCCCTTTTTTTGGTGCTTTTGACATGTTTCCAGGTTTTTCCCGTCATTTTAGGAAAGTGTACTTTATTCTCAGGCGTTTCAGACTCATGAAGAAAACCGTTTAGGAAAAGTTTAGAAATTGATTTTATGAGCTGATGGAAACTGCTGTCAGGCTCCATCTCGTCCGTTTTCACTCGGTCGACTCAGAGACGATTAAAAGCAGCCCGTTTGCTTCTGATTGGAGGGAATCCTGTCTGAAAAGCTTCCAGATGTTGCTCTCGCCTGGCTCGGGAAGCCACTCTGGTTTACCTTGTTATGGAAAAAGTTTTTAAATGAGTGAGGCAAAGTATTAATAATCAGAGAAGATCTCGTCCAATAAAGAGATTTATTCGAAGGCAACAGCGTTTGAAGACACAGATCACAGAGTAAACGTCCCCTTATATAACTTAGTGTGGATAAAGGAAAGGAAAATGCCACTGTGTTTATTATGAGCAACAAACAAAAAGATTCTGATTTACATCTCAGTTCTCAGGAAGTCCCATGGAGAATCTCCAAAAGGAAAAAAGCTATGCTTATTCTCAGGAGACAGGAAAAGGCCGCCATGTGGATTGGTCAAAAAGAGAATCTTCTCAGGTGTGAGGATAACACAAGAATCAGAAATCAGAATCAGAATCAGAAATACTTTAATAATCCTAGAGGGAAACAAAAGGCGAGTCGTACAATTTCAATGATAAACAGGAATGGGAGATTCATCCTTGATGGGATTAAGGAAATTGTTGTGTTTCTTAGTGGTGATAAAACCACAGTCTCCAGACATGTGAAACGACTCTCCCTAAAGGAATTAACTCATTGACTGGCAGCCATTTTCAGAACAGAGTCCCATACTGCCAGAGTTTTTTTTAGCATTTTGACTGATTTTTCAAGAGCCACAGAATAGTTTGTGCTATGACTATGTAAACACCGAACACACCAAAA